AATAGCCCAAAATCACAAAATTGACCAGTTCACAAGGAAAAAAAAAAACATTGGTTTGGCCTGTAGTTTCTTGCCTTAAACAGAATAAAGACTGGGACATAATGTTGGAAGCAACCAGAATTTGACTGGATCATGGGTGTTAGGTGTTTTTATTTGATTGGTTTAATATTATTTTGTTCTGCCCACATAGCCATGGTTATGTCAGCAGAGAGAAAAAAAAAGTTGTTTCAGAGGCTTGATTATGATGAAAAACATTTATGGAGAATGTAAATCGCATCAGTTTCATGTTGTCTCTAGGTACAGTTCTGTGTCTTTAGGACATTTTGCAGTAGGTCACAGAACGCTGCTCTTGGTCCTGTTGGTTTACTCTATAAAGATATATTTCAGTGCAGAGATCATGTTGCTCGAGGGTGACATTTGTCATGTGTTCGTTTCAGGGAGTAATGGACCGCAGAAGTTCTGCATCGAGAAGGTTGGGAAGGAGAACTGGCTTCCTCGCAGCCACACATGGTACATAATCTCACTTCATACAGACATTATATTAATCTCTAAAGATCTGTTCACATTTCTCTTGATATTATCTGTTATGAAATCCGTGTATTTAAGCTTGAGATGTGTAAGTACGGATGTGACTTGTGTCAGTTGAGGCATATTTTAAAATAGTAATCCAATCGTTGCATCTTTGTTAACTCTCTAAATACATTTTTTTAATGATTTGGTAAATGGGTTAATAGGCAAAAACTTTTTTTTTAATAATAATAATATGTTTTATTAATGATGATAATAATATCAATAATAATTAGTATTTATATTTATTTAATGCTAACAATAATTAACAATATGTAATAATAATGTTGTTATTATTGTTGTTATTATTATTATTGATATTAATTGCTAATTTTGTTATTGTTTATATTATTTAACTAAATTTTTTAATGAATTGAATCATTTGATGAATAAGTTTTTTTATCAATAATTATTCAATTATATATATATACTTGAATAATTATTGATAAAAAAATAATTCATCAAATGATTCAGTTCATTAATTTTTTTTTATAAATGCCAATAAATAAAATAAACTAAAATATAAAATTTTAAAATAGAATTAAAATGTAAATAAATGGCTTTAAATATTTTTTCCTTATATATATATAGGAAAAAATATTTAAAGCCATTTATTTACATTTTTATTTTGGAATTAATAAATTGATAACTGAATCCTTCACTGTTTTTAAGTGACACTCCTAGTACTTCCTACTACAGTAATGTATTCATACTTCGTACAGCATATAATAACCATCTATAATATATATTTTTAATAGTATAGTAAATTTTTAATATTTTTTATATAAATAAATCATTGTTAAATATCTAATATTTTAATTCATTTATTTAAATATTTATTTTAAAAGTCATAAATTGATAAATAATTCCTTCATTGTTTTTATGTGACACTCTTAGAGCTTCATATACTGTCTTTTTTTTTTTTTGTATTCATTCTTGTACACTGCCTATAATAATCATCTTAAAATCAATAATATTCATCTGTAATGCAGCAGTCAGTGTATATATAGCAGTCATTGAGTGCAAATGTGGATATTAAACCTGTAACTGCTCTCGTTTTCTTCCTGTTCCAGTTTTAATCGACTGGATCTGCCGGCGTACCGCAGTTACGAGCAGCTGAAGGAGAAGCTGATGTTTGCGATTGAGGAGACGGAAGGTTTCGGTCAGGAGTGAGACGCTCTCTCTCTCTCTCTCACACACACACACACACACACACACACACAAACAGAGGACACACAGATCTCATGCACACTAGTTTTACTGAGAGGACAGACCGATGATCTGACACACAGGTGCATTATGGGAAAATGGGGGTATTAATTTCTGTATCCCTGTGAGTTGAGGAGGCTTTATGCAAGCGTGTCAGATACGTGACTGACGTTTCTACATGTGATCAATCCAGCGAGTGCTGTTCTCCACGACTCCAGAAGAAAGAGCAGACTCTCTGAAGAGTCACCAGAGCGCTGTGAATGTGTGTTTTTATGTTCACAAACCCTACGACGGGTCTCCTTGTGCCTTTTTTCCTCACTGTCATCCAAACAAACTGAGTTATTAAAGTGTAGCACTCGACAGGTGAGAGAACCTGATGGCTTATTGCACCACTGACCTAAAATATTCATTCAAACTGTCAAGAACTGGCCAGTTTCATCCCCAAATCATTTAGAAATTATATTTTGCAAAAATATAAGGACAATTAAGGTATTTTGCATTGTGACTTTAAAATTAAAACATATTCATGACAAACATATTTTTTCAAATTCTCACTATTATAATGTTGAAAAAATGTGTTTTCCACTTGTTCTTGTAACTGTTAAGTGAAAAATACAGTATATATATATATACTTTTAATTGTCTTGTAGTGAATTTAACTTGTGCTGATCGAAACAAAAAAATAATAACCTTAAACCAAACTAATACATTTATTAAATAATTCAATTACAGCAGAATGTTTTTTTTATAGAAATAAAAGCTTTTCCACATTATGCTGATGTAAATTTGTAAAATCTTTGATTTTCATGAAAATATTGTTGCAGTGCAAAATATTGTAATGTAATGGTCTTTATGCAGAGTATATTTTGTTTTCATACATGCGTACCTATACATACAGTATATAGATATACGAGTTACATATAAAACAACTATTGAAAATATATATTAAAAGATACATTTTATTAAAATATTACATATATATATATATATACATAATTTAAAAAGTAATATATTTCCTAAATATTACATACATATATATATATGTAAACGTATATACACATATATAAAATATGTATAAAACTGATTCTAAATATTTAATTATTGTTTTATATTTGAATAAAATAGATATTTTTTTATACATTATATATTTTAATAGGTTTTTTATATGTAACTATACGTATAGATGTATTAAAATAAGATATATTGAAAAAATGAAGTCCATATATATATATATATAATTTGTGTGTGTTTTGAGGTGAAACATGGCTTTGACATTTCTAAAATGATATAAAATGACTCGAGTGATTTCAGGACATTCTTGTTCTTGGTCTCCAGTGTGTCTGATTTCACGCTCTGGTCCTCGAGCACAGATTCACATTACTAAATGATTTCTCTGAAATGAACTGAAATTGTGTCCCTTTCAGACACGGCGCTGGCCTTGAATCCCTGAAGCGATAATGTGAGTTTATTTGGGCCTAAATTTGGGAGAGAGCAGTATTTTTCACAGGTACCGCTCTAGTTCTATAGGGCGGCTGCTTTAAACACAGCTTTTTAAGTATTCTGGAAGCTCTTGGGCTGTTCAGATCGATGTTTCATGAATTATTTGAAGTGCTTCTAGTCTAAACCACTGGAGGAGCCCAAAAGCCCTGCTATAAAGCGTATAGCTGTGGTTCAGCACATTGCATTATGGGTAATAATATGAAGACTCATTTGGATGACTGTTTAAGGGTGTCAGGGAGGATCTTTTAGATTTTCAGAAAATAAATCAACATCAAATATTTATTTAAACCGCTATTTTTAATCCAATTTACCCTGTTTGAATGAGAATTTAACCAGTGAAATCCTCGGGTTTATATGTGATCCGGCTCTCATTTTGACTTTTCTTTTTTTCCCAACCGATCCATGAAAACCAAACCATTTTAACTCCATATATGAACTGAATCCTGTACATGGTGTGAATACTCTCCTCTCTCTTCAGATTAATCGGATGATTTTAGTATAAAGTAGAAGCGGCCTCTTTCATGGTCGTTTCCGAGTTTATTTACTAGCGTTGATTTGTATGTATAGTCAAATGTGAAAAGATGTTCAGCAGCTGAATAAATAACTCTATGGGAAAATGTCTGGTGTTGTTTTTGAGACCTGGATGCTGTTTGTAATGCAAAATAATTAGCATTAGCATTAAATCCACATGGATGAGGCACAATCAAACTAAACTGAACAAATGCAGGGGTTTCCAGACATTTTATTGCAAAAGTTGAACTGCTTTTAACTTGATATGGCATCTTAAAAACACAACGCTTCTGGCATAAAACCTCACAAAACGTTGCATTTTAATGGACAAAGAAACATAAAAAAAAAACTGGACAACTAACTGAAATAAATACGCTTAAGGTGTCGAAATACACCTTACATTTTTCATCTGTTTATATTTTATTTAAATTTTTAATATATATATATATATATATATATATATATATATATATATATA